GGGGTGGGACATCCGGGGGCGGGGACTTTGGGGAGGGCCCGGTCTGAGTCCAGGACGGGAAGGTCCCTGGGGGGAGAGGCGTCCTTTGCGGGGGCTTGTGGGGCGTGAAAACTTAAGAGGTCCGCGTCAGTGGAGCAGGCGGGCAGCAGGGCTTCAGGGGCCCCTGTGACGCCCCCTGGCCCGCAGGTGCTTGCCACGGACATGTCCAAGCATATGACCCTCCTGGCTGACCTGAAGACCATGGTGGAGACCAAGAAAGTGACCAGCTCGGGGGTCCTCCTGCTGGACAACTACTCCGACCGCATCCAGGTGCCCGCCTGGCACATCATATAAGGAGATGGGACCCCTTCCCCGCCCCTCCCACCTTAGGTCTGGGTTGCCCCCCTCCCTCAGCCTCCAGCTCCCAGGTTTCCCATCTTCCTGTCTCCTTTTTCTCTCTGTTTCGTCTCCCTATCTTGCTCTTCCAACCCCCATCTCTCCATCCCATCTCCCCCAATTCTTTCTTCCCTTTTCTCATCAACTCCCTCCTATCCCCTCCCCACTTGTCTCCCTCTCTCCTGTTCCTCTGTCTCTCTCCATGTCCCCCCACCCCTTCCTTCCACTCTCGTCCCAAGTGGGAAGTAAGGAAGGCCCCAAACTGGGAGGGGGCGTGGCCGCTGAAGGTGCCCCACCTCCCGCAGGTCCTGCGGAACATGGTGCACTGCGCAGACCTCAGCAACCCCACCAAGCCGTTGGAGCTGTACCGCCAGTGGACGGACCGCATCATGGCCGAGTTCTTCCAGCAAGGCGACCGGGAACGTGAGCGGGGCATGGAGATCAGCCCCATGTGTGACAAGCACACGGCCTCTGTGGAGAAGTCTCAGGTACGTTCCAGAGCAGCCCATGGAAGGGAGCAGGGCGGGCCTCCCCACCCCATCCGGACCTGGAGCTGAGACCCACCCTTCTGGGTTCGGTGTGTATGCCCTTCCAGACCAGGGTTACCCAGCCCCGGCACTGTTGCTGTTTAGGGCCGGATCATTCTCTGTGGTGGGCACCCACTAGATCCCAGGAGTTTCCTCCTTTTCCAGCTTTAACAATGAAAAATGTTTCCAGACACTTTCAAATGTCCCCTGGGCATGCAAATCACTCCCAACCCCCTAGAAAAACTAATTTTATTATGTAGTTATGTTCACAGGCAGCTTAATAGCAATAGTTTGTGAGTTTAGGGGCCAGCTCCGTGGCGTAGCGGTTAAGTGCGCGCACTCCGCTGCTGGCGGCCCGGGTTCAGATCCCGGGCGCGCACCGATACACCACTTGTCAGGCCATGCTGTGGCAGCGTCCCATATAAAGTGGAGGAAGATAGGCACAGATGTTAGCCCAGGGCCAGTCTTCCTCAGCAAAAAGAGGAGGATTGGAATGGATGTTAGCTCAGGGCTGATCTTCCTCACAAAAAAACCCAAAAAAACCAAAATAGTTTGTGAGTTTAGTTTTTTTTAAAAATATAAATTGCATCAATATATGCCCATTTTTATACAGCTTATCTTTTTTTCCCAACAATGACTTGAAGATCTTTCCAAGTTATTACTCATAGATTTACCATACCCTTTTTCACTGCTGTGTAGTATTCCCACAGATATAGCTAGATAATGGTTGTGTAGTCATTCCCCTGTTGATGGACATTTAAGTATTTAGTAGTTAGGAATTCACAGTGACTCAAACAAGATAAAGCTTTTTGTTTTCCTCTTATGTAAGCAAAGTCTAAAGAAAGGGAATTTGGCTCTCTGGCTCCACAGAGTTGGCAGGAATCCCAGAGCTTACATTATTTCTCTCCTCCCAGCCAAAGCATGGGGCTTCTATCCTCAGAGATGCCTCTCATGGTCACAGATGCTGTTGATGCTCCAGCCATTCTGGCTACATTCCAGGGAGGAAAGGCCTCTGCCAGTTGAGGCAGCCCCCAGCATCCTCTGTCTACAGGTGGTCACATGGCCACCCTCTCTTTGCAAGGGAGTCTTGGAAATGTAGTTTTCCACTGGAAGCATTGCCTTTCCCTAAGAAAAATCAAGATTCTATCAATGTGGAGGAGGGAAGAGGATACCAGGGTATTAGCCAGTAGTCTGCCATGAAGTTATTTCTAGTTTCTTTTTGTTGCACAAAAATACCATAATGAATATCTGTGGTGTACCACAGTGTTTTAAGTTAACCCCCAACTGATGTAGATATAGAGCTGTTTCCAGTTTTTGCTTATATCTCATATGTGATTTTTTTTCTTACTTGGGCAAGAGGTTTCCCAGGGTGGATCTGGAGAAGCCAGATTGCTGGGTCCAATGGTATCAGCATCTTTTAAATCTTATTAGATCCCGGGGCCTGCCCAGTGGCACGAGCAGTTAAGTGTGCGCGCTCCGCCTTGGCCACCCAGGGTTCACAGGTTCAGATCCCGGGCGCGCATCAATGCAACATTTGTCAGGCCGTGCTGTGGCGGTGTCCCATATAAAGTGGAGGAAGATGGGTGTGGATGTTAGCCCAGGGCCAATCTTCCTCGGGGGAAAAAGAGGAAGATTGGCATCGGATGTTAGCTCAGGGCTGATCTTCCTCACCAAAAAATAAATAAATAAATTTTATTAGCTCCTGCAGTGTGGCGGAGCCATCTGCATCAGCACAGCCAGGACTTTATACCTTCTCCCTCTCCCAGGTGGGTTTCATCGACTATATCGTGCACCCGTTGTGGGAGACGTGGGCGGACCTGGTCCACCCGGATGCCCAGGAGATCCTGGACACGTTGGAAGACAACCGGGATTGGTACCACAGCGCCATTCGGCAGAGCCCTTCGCCACCGCCCGAGGAGGAGCCCAGGGGGCCAGGCCACCCGCCCCCACCCGACAAGTTCCAGTTTGAGCTGACGCTGGAGGAGGAAGAGGAGGAGGAGGCGGCCACCGGCCTGGGTGCAGGTGAAGTGCAGGAACTGCCCCTGGCGCAGGCGCAGGACGCGTCCGCAGCTGAGGAACTGTTGGGGCGCCATGGCCAGGCCGTGCGCACAGAGCTGGAGGTACAGGAAATGCGCCTGAGGCAGCAAGCAGACCCCGCAGGGCGTGTGGCTACGGGCCAGGAGGAGTCCGCGTCCCCACATGCATCTGCGGGTGCTGTAGGCTGTAGCGGTCCCCCCGCTCTGTCTCCTGAGAGCCCCCCTTTGCCTGCCTTGAGGACCCTGCCCCCTCCAGAGGAGGCCCCGGGCCTCCCGGGCCTCCCCTCCACGGCGGCCGAGGTGGGGGCCCAAAAAGAGCACCAGGCTGCCAAGAGGGCGTGCTGTGCCTGCACGGGGTCCCCCAGCGAGGACCCACCCGCGCTCCCAGCTCCCGGCGGGTGGGGGTCAGCTGGAGGCCCCACCTGAGCCCCCGCCCCTGCCCCCTGTTGCCCCCCTGCCTCCCTTCACCACCCTCAGCCCCCCAACCGCCCCCTCCACTGCCTCAAAGACTCTTGGGCCTCCTGAGAAAAAAGAAAACAGAAAAGTGGGGTTTTTTCTCTTTTCTTTTTTTCCCCCCCTCCCCCAACCCCCACCCATGGGGCCTCTTTTTGGAGGTGGGGGCTGGGGGAAGAAGGGGCTGAGGCCCCCGACGGGATTTTATTTTTGGAATTTTAATTGTTACGTTTTTAGAAAAAGGAAAAAAAAAAAAAAAACCACCAGGATGAAACACAGCAACTGTAGATGTTCCTGTTCCCGGCTCCCCCTCGTTCATCTCCAACCCCCACCCTCCCCAAGCCCCCCTAGGTTCCAGGCTCAGTCTTCCGGCCTCTAAGGGCTCTCTGCCTGGGCCCAAGCAGGCACAGGGCCTCCTTCCAGGTTTCTCTTCTGAATTTTGGAGGGTGTCTAGGATCCAGCCAGGAATAGCCATTCTGGGGGGCGGCCCGGGCGGGTGAGGGGGGTCGCCATGGGAGGCCCCAGCTCCAGCCCATCTCTGGCTCGCTGTGCCTCCCCTCACCGCAGAAGTCTTCCCCCTGCCTCATTTTGCACAAACGTGGCAATACCGACTCCGAGACGGGCAGTGGGGAGCTGTGCTCTGAAGGACGCAGCCGGGGGTCTTGGAGAGACATTCACACCACCAGCCTGGGGGCTGAGGTCTGAGGAGGGCCTGATCCCCCTTCCGCTTGCCACTCTCTTCCCCTCCACTTTGGGTTCTGTTGGAATTTTCTCCGTTTGGGGGGACGGCTCTGAGCCACACCCCTCCTTCCAGCTGCTCTCCTCTTGTTTCTGCCTTAATGATTCCCAAGGCCATAGGAAAGGGGGTCGAAGTGGCCCCACCTGCACCTTGGGTGGGGTGGGGCCAGGCCCGGAGCCCCCATCCTGGGCACCCCCCTCCCCAGCATCCTCCTGCCCCCCCTCCCTGACCCTGTGCCCTAGGAAGAAGCAATAATGGTGTACACCCACATCCCTTTTCTGGGCAGCCCTTCCTCTGCTGGCCCCAAAGTCTCCATTACCCCCCACCTTGCCAAGCCTCCCCTTCACCCGGTAGCTATTCCCCAAGCAATATGACAGACAGATGGATGCAAGGCCATTTTTCTCCAAGCCATGGGGGGACTGTTTAGAAAGAAAGATTCTCTCTTCTCCCTCTGCTCTGCTCCTCGGCCCGTTCTGCAGCTGTGCCGGGCAGGCCCTCCTCTCTCATCGTCTCCCCCGGCAATTCTGAGCACACGGTACTGTAGCCCCTGGGTCCCCCCAGCCTTCCATCTGTCTGTCCATCTCGATGGGGAGTACGACCCGCCCCCACCCCCAGGATGCTGTACAGGGTTCATTTTTGTAGTGAACGTAGTTTCTGTCCCAGCCGGTGACCGGAGTGGGCCTTTTTTGTTGTTGTTTTCTTTCTTTTTTTTGTACATACTGTAAGGTTGGTTTGTAAATTATTCTACAGAGGCAAAAAGGGAAAATAAACTTGCCCTTCCTCGACTGACCGGCAGGGGAAGGAGGGGAGGGGGCCTCCCAGAGGGAGAGTCCCTGTTCCCGCTGTATTATACAAACTGTACCATAGACCCCAAAAGCGTGGACTCAACACTGGTTTTGGTGGGGAGTCGTGGCATCTGGGCAGAGCCTGCCCCCTCCCCCAGGGCTGGATGTGACTGGCGAGAGGGACCGCCACCCGCCATCAGGGCTCCTCTCTCTGGGGGTGCACAGGACCCCTGTGAGCTGCTCCGGTGTTGTCCACTTTGACGATCAATGAGTCTGATCAGTAATCAATCCTTTGATCTTGTCTCCAATTAAACTGAGGCTTTCATGGATGTTCCAGGCTGACGTGGCTTCCTTTCCTACAGTGTTCTCAAGGCGCATCTCTCCTGCACTGTCTGTCTGGGGTGGGGTGGGGTTGAATAGGGGGCTCTGTCCCTACCTCTCCCCAAGCAGATAGAAGCTGAGGGGATGCAGAGGGCTTGGCGGGAGCAGCTGTGGCTTGTAAAGTGGAGGATCAGACCACGCAGTCTTTGGAGGCCAGCAGACCCAGGTAAGCCTCGCTACACAGAACATACCCGACACAACTCTTGGGGGCTTCTGGAATCTTCAAGTCACTCCTGGAAACCTCAAGGGAGCCTGATGGACGGTGCCTCCACCATCTGGCTGCCAGGTCATGATAAAGGGTCTAAGGTCGAATTCTGCCATGCAGACGGTAAACTTGATTACCAGGCAGAAGGGAATTTACACCTGTAAGTTCCAAGAATTCCCAGATTCCTGCCAAATTTGGTGTTGCAACATTTGTTACCAAACCTCTTAATTCTCAAGTTCGTATGCCTGATGTGCAGTAAGCCAAACACTGAGACATCGGTGCTTAGAGATGGAGAAAGATTTATTCAAATTGGCCAAGACAAGAGGGTGGGAGCATAAGTTCTCTCAAATCCGCCTTAACAAGAGAAGGAGGCAGGGGGTTTATAGAGCTAAAGGGCTTGGCAGGAGGAGTTTCTGAGAGGTAGTCCATGTTTCTTTCACTCCTGATAAGCCCCTGGGCAATCTGGCTTCTGGGCATCGGTGGCAGCTGGGAGCTGGTTATCTGGTGATCCTTGAAGGCATTCTCTTTATTCTGTAAAACACGCTCATAAATCCTTATGACCCTTGAGTCACCCTTCAGGTTAATCAGGAAAACAGCAAATTGACAAGATTAACTTTTTTTCATAACAAGGTCGAAAGGTAATCTTACTGAATATTTACAGTAACCCTCAGGTACCTGGCTTCACTGGCTTCACCGTCACCTTTCGTGAAAACAAACCCAAAACAATGAACCTCTTAAAGACACGATCTGGTGTTGCTTCGAGGAGCCTGTTAGTCTTATGGGTATCAGACAAGCTGAATGCTCCAAGTTCACATGGGACCAGCCTGGGATTTTAGCTCTGTTTTTCTGATGTGTTCATAAAAGATTGGAGAATGAGTGAGTCTCAGATATTTTAACCCATCCATGTATTTGAATATTGTTCACTCCACCCAGGGAAGCCCATTTTTCCAACCTTTATCAGGCTAATTAACAAGCCCCTGGTTTCACCAATAAAACATTTCCGATGTTCGTTATGCTAATGAGCAAAACTTCCCATGTGGATAAAGATACAGATAGCTGAAGTTTATGATAAGCAGGCTCCCGGATTAAAACCTGGCTGCCTCTGGGGTGTAATAAACAGAAGTAAACACATACACACACAGAGTGCTTAAGTGGTTCAGATCCGTAGATGTATATGTTCACAGTGTGTGTTCTGAAATAGAATGAGAGCAGCATCTTTGGTTCTAAGGAAAGGTCGACCAGCCGCCTCTGCTAGTCATCTCTAGCGGCCAGGGACTAGTTTGGATGCCAGCTCTAGCTGTGTGACCTTGGGTGTGAGATGTCTCTGACCCACAGTTGTCTCATCTATAAAAAGATAATAAAAATCCCAGACTTATGGGGTCTGTCTAGAGCAGGGTGTCTAGTGAAACTTTATACGATGACGGGAATGTTCTGTGTCTGCCCTGTCCAACACGACAGCCACTAGCCACATGTGGCTATTAAGCATTTGATATGTAGCTAGTCCAGCTGAGGAACTGGAGTTTCCATTTTCCTTGACGTGAAGTAGCCACAAGTAGCCAAGGGCTACTGTATGAGACTGCAGGGTTCTGGAACTTAAGGGAAAGAATGAGTGTAGAGGATTTAGCGCATACAGAGGTTCATCTGCTTGACTGTGGCTTAAAGATTCACACTGTTTATCGTGACCCAGAGGTGGGAAGCAAAGCTGGAAAAACTAGAAGTTTCCAGGGAATCTGAACTTTGCACAAAGAAGCAAAGAGGAGACACAGACGTTTTCCCAAGGGTGTTTCAAAGGGAGGCAGAATCAGGGAAAGAGTCAGGAGTTGACAGCACCAACCCCAGGCTGCAGGATATGGCTGGGTGGCCCCCGTGAGCCTTCTTGCTCCGGGCCTCAGTTTCTCCAAGTGTAAAAGGGCAGGCATGATGTTGCAATGCCTCCTACATTGGGATGTGGTGACGGTCTGAGAATGTGGATCGAAGGGTGAAGGTGGCATGTGACCATCAGCTGGCTCTTTAAATTCCCTTGGTGGGGAGTTCATCTTTCCTCAGGCAAAGGTGACCAAGGGCAGTGGGGCGCAGCAGCGAGGCTTTGTAATCTGAACGGGACAGGGGGACCCCGGGGAAGGGGTGGAGTCAATTCGTTCTCTGAAGTTGACATCAGCCACCTGCAGGCCACGCGGTCTTGGGCAAATGGCTCCACCCTGCCCAGCCTGTAGGGGGCTCTGCCCAGTGCTAAATGCATGGGGCAGATTAACTTATTGACTCTCCAGGGGACCTTGAGATACATACTATCACAGGCTACATTGTGCAGATGAGGAAACTGAGTCTGAGAAGTGATCTACAATGTCAGGAAAATTCAGGGAAGTAGGCGGGGATCTCAATTCACCCAGCGCCTGTTCTACAATGATACTGCCCAGATACTTCTACATTATTATCACTGCTTTATTTCAAGCAAACAAAATCTTGAGATGTGGGGAATAGTTTTCCCTCTTTCACTGCATAAAAATATAAGGAAGTACAAATTACAGCAAGACACTCTTGGAGCTGGCCCGGTGGCATAGTGGTTAAGCCAGCGCACTCCGCTTTAGCAGCCCAGGGCTCAAAGGCTTGGATCCCAGGCGCAGACCTACGCACCGCTCATCAAGCCATGCTGTGGCAGCATCCCACATATAAAGTAGAGGAAGATGGGCATGGATGTTAGCCCAGGGCCAATCTTCCTCAGCAAAAAGAGGAGGATTGGCAACGGATGTTAGCTGAGGGCTAATCATCTTAACCAAAAAAAAAAAAAAAAAAACCATTTTCTTTTCCCATTTATTGGCAAATAATGAAAACATGGAATATCCTGGGATGAGCAAAACACTTTCAT